CCTTTCGTTTTTTTCGAGGATGAACTTGTAGTAGTTAAATGGTTAATTAACTGAACAAAAAATAGCGCATCAGACTAGCATGAGCTCTTACGCTTTGAATTCTTTTTAGAGAAATGGTTTGATTTCTTGAGCTCTTACGCTTTGAATTCTTTTTAGAGAAGCTCTTACTCTTTGATGATGCCCCCAAATTATTGTGGCCAAGGTGGACCATGCTGGTCAGCGTGAGGTTGCGCGCCATGGGCCCGTTTGTCAGCCCCAGCAAACTATTATGGATACATACATGATGCCTATTGCTTCTTTGGCCGACTTCAACGGCCTCCCGAGTTCAAAGCTAGGAAGCAACATGGATCGAAGTCTTCAAGCTTCTATTTTCACTACCATCTCCATGGTGCTACTCGTGGTGAAGGGGCATGAGCTCGCCATCTCCATGGTCATACGACATCTGCAACATCTATTTTCACTACCTCCATTGGTGCTGATGTTGGAGTGAGGCGGAGAATGGTGCTGATGCTGGTCCTGGATCCATCCACGTGGCACGCCTCCTCTGCTGCTCGCAATAAAAGAAGTTATCAACTATATCAAACAACCATTTTTTACAAAATGTAGATAAACCAAGCTTCAGTTGAAACATAGCCAATTTGTTTTGAAGTAAGTATGAGCTGTAAACCAGTACTAGATTGGAAGGAAAATCAACTTTGCTATACCCATTAGAAGATTATATGTTAGAGCCAAGCCCACGGTTTCATTCACTCATCCCTTGAGACAACTAAATCCTCTGTATTCTTCTCTACAAATATAACAACCAGCGCATATTTTTCATTTTCTGAAGCATATATAAAATACACTAGAGACAATAGGGGTGGGCATCTCATATTTTAAATGACTGTAGTAATGACTTTGCTTTTCTGGATGGAAAAGGTTGTCCATTTTAGATTGGCGATACAAACCTAAGAATCTTAGATATGGATGCAAACAACAATTCCGTTTTTTTTCGTTGAACATCCTGACTGGTGATGTAAATATATTTTTATATCAATTGGGTCACCCTGACCGAAAATTCTGACTACGCCACTGTCTCTAGCATATCTTCACTCAACGGCTTTAATACCTATAATCCACAAGGATATCAAGTCGGTTAATATACTTTTGGATGATACTCTAATAGCTAAGGCAGCAGACTTTGGATCATCAAGGTACATTCCATTAGACAAATCAGGTTTAACAACAATGGCGCAAGGTACATTAGAATAATTGGATCCTATGTACTTCTACACCGGGCAACTCACAAAGAAAAGTGATATTTACAGCTTTGACGTTATGCTCATAGAACTGATGACTAAAAAGAAGTCGTTTTTCTATATGGATTCTGAAGGTGATGGCCTTGTGGCACATTTTGCTACCATGTTTGCTGAAGGCAATTTGTTACAGATATTAGATCCACGAGTTATTAACGAGGGTGGGGACAAAATTGAAGAAATTGCTGCAAGTAGCATGTATGTAATTAAAGAGGGGAGGAACGCCAAACCATGAGACGAGTGGAATTGAGGCCGGAAGGAGCTCAATTACATGTGGACCATGTTGCAGCAGTAGTGGAAGAATTTGATGGGAATGGTATTGTGATAAATTCTCAAATAACTAGAGATGGAATAAGCCACCAAGAAGGCCTTACTAGGCATTATAGCATGGAAGAAGATTACACATTATCAAAAGTTATCCACGGTGGTTGTGCTTACTTGTGAGCTGGCCACCATTGGTTTCCAACAATTTATGTGCATTCAGTTACATCAGAGAAGCTAAGTGGACAATGGCTAAGTTGTAAGGACTTTGGTTGTGTACTATGCCCCGGGGGGCTGGGGGGGAGGGGGGGGGCAACATGGGCCAAGCTGAAGGAAACCCATTCTTTTATCTCAAAAGGCCCAATTTATTGTCTACTCTTCACAGTTTCTGCCATGAGTTGGGCGGGCCACGGCCCATTTGGCCTGGTTGTAGCTCTGCAGTGCTCCAGCGTTCTTTGCACTGCCATAATTGTTGAATAGATTGAAAATTTTCCTCGCAAAGAACAAGGTCCTTTTCACGCAATTTTTTCGTATATTTCTATACAAGAGGTTGTTTCCAAGACTCGAATCTGTGACCTCGTGCTCACAAGGAAACAACTTTACTGCTGCCCCGAAGATCCCCTTCCTTTTAAGGATTGTATGTATACCTGCAAAAAAAAAACTCCTGGCCATTAAAAAGCAGTTTTTAAATAAAAAATATTTGAATTATTTTTTTGAAACAAATATTTGAATTATTTTTGAAAGTTGAAAGCATAGAAAGTTAGTAGAAACATTCAAGAGCTGGGAGGCCCTGCCTGATATTTTGCCCGTCCGGACCGGACGCCGGCGCCACGCTCCAATACCGCATCCTCTGCTTCTCCTCCCACGGCCTACCTCAAAGATGCCGCCACGGCTCTAACCTCCCCCCCTCCCGCGCCCCACCGGCACCACCGCGCCACCGCCCCATTCCACTCCCCACCGCCGCCCCAACCCCCAAGCCCGGGCC